ACAGCTACTATGAACATTTGGTGATAGGTATTTGTATAGCCAGGATAAATGTGTTTATTTGTCTTAGGTAAATATATAAAAATGGCAATCATATGAGAACTATATGTTTAACTTCTAAATAAACTGCTAAATTGTTTTCCACATGGTTGTGCAAGTTTACATTCCTACTAGCAACACAGGAGATTTTTAGTTTCTCTATATTCCTACCAACACTTGGCATCAGTGGCCTTTATAATTTCAGTCGTGCCTGTGGCAATGTTGCAGTAGCTCACTGTGGTTTTACATCTGCACTTTCCTGATGACTAAGTGATATTGTGTGTCTTTTCATGTGTATATTGACAAGTCATACATCTTCTTTTGTGAATTATCTATTCAAATATTTCCCCCATTTTTTGGTGAATTGTGTTCTTATTTTTTTCATTCCATACATATCCTATATACAAGCCAGTTGTTTTATATATATATATATATATATATATATATATATATAGAGAGAGAGAGAGAGAGAGTAAATCATCTATTCTTTGACTTGTATTTTTCAGTTTATTAATTCCCATTTAAAAAGCAGAAATTTTTAGTTCTGATAAAATTCATCATTTTGTTTTCAGTTTTAATTTTTTTGTATCTTAGGTAGGAAATTTTAACTGATTCTAAAGAAGGCAAATGTTATAGATTTGGATTTAATGTTTAAGTTTATGACACATCTTGAGTTATATTTGTGTGTGGTGTGGGCTAAGTGTTGAACTTTTTTTGTTTTTGTTTTTGGTTTCTGTACTTGGGTATCCTATTGTACCAAGCCATTTATTGAAAAGACTGCATTTTCCTCATTAAATTACTATGGCACACTTCTAAAAAAATCAATTGACCATAAATGTGTGTATATATGGGGGGAAAGCACTTATTTCGGGAATCTCAATTTTGTTGCACCAATTAAATTCTATTCTTAAGTCAGTACCATTTTGTCTTGATTCTTGTAGCTTTATATTAAGTCTCTAAATCTAGTCGTATATCCTCCAACTTTTTGCTTTAAAAAACTTTTAGCAATTCTAAGTACTTGCATTTCCATATAAACTTTGGAACCATCTTATCAATTTTTGTAAAAAGGAGAGCTGAATTTGGATTGGAATTGTAATGAATCTATACATCAATTTAAGTGCAAATGACATCTTAGTGATATTGAGTCTTTTAATCCATGATCTAGTATTCTTTATCTCAGAAGTTAGACAGTTTTAAGTGTTCAAGAAGTGCATATGTTTTGAAAAATTTATCCCTGAGAATTTTATATTTGTTGACATTATTCTAAGTCATATTTTAAAAAATTTTCGATTTCCATTTTTTTGTTACTAGCAAAAGATATCAGTTGATTTTGCGTATCAATCTTGTATCCTGCAAGATAACACATTCAGTTATTAATTCTAGTAGCCTTTTTTGTAGACATCAGGATTTATGTATAATATTTTCATCTTCCTTTCCAATCTATAAGGGTTTTTTTTTTTCTTACATGTTATTGCATTGGCTATAACTGCCCTGCTATGCCACCAGGCCAGAACAATGTTAAATATAATAGGTAAAAGTGAATATGCTTACTTTGTTTCTAATTTTGAGGAAAAGCATTTAGATTTTTACCATTTATGTAAGAGTGAGCTGTGGGTTCTTCATAAATGTGCTTTATCAGATTGAGGAAGTTATCTTTTAATCTTAGTATAATGAGAGGTTTTATCATAAATAAATATTAATTTTGTCAAATGCTTTATCTCCATCTATTGAGATACAGTTTTTCTCCTTTACTCTGTTTATATGTTGAATCACAATCCCAATGATAGATTTTCAAATATTAGACAAGTTAGATTCCTGGAATAAATCTCACTTATTATTTTTAATTTGATAGATTTGATTTGCTAAAATTTAGTTAATAGTTTTGATGTTTTTGTACATGTGGGCTATTAGTCTATAGGTTTTCTTTTGTAATATCCTTGGCTGATTTTATTATCAGGTAACATCAACATCATGGAATTTGTTGTAAAGTACCCATACTTTTTATCACTTCTGACTTAGTCTATTGTCATTAATAATTTTTTCTCAGGGTTTATGGTTCACAATTTACTTCTCTGGGCATGTATTTAATTTTGGATTAAATGGTGGATATCTAGACTTTCATGTTGTTGAATTGTTGTTATGCTACGTTTTGTTTTCTTTATAAATGTTTGTCAGGCTTTGCTCTGGAAGTCTGTTAAATGTTGTGTGGATTAGCTTAATTCTTGCAAGGCTAATTTTAAGCTGTGTTAGGGCTTATCTAGAGATGTTTTTAGGGGTATTTTAGAACAACTACTAAAATATGACTATTCCCAGGACATTAAGGTGACCAGCAAGGATTTTTGAATACGGTTGACCAGACCTTGAATGTTTCTCTACTCCATATAAGATCTAGAAATTTTCAGCATACAACTATTTAGTTGCCCTTTCCCAGTTGTTCCTTTCTTGGTCTCATGAAGTTTTACCCTCCATGAGTGGGTATAGGAAGTGTGTTCACACCTTCCTATACCATTATTATCAGATACAAAATCACCTTTATAGATTTTTCTTTAATTTGAGGTCTTTCTCTCTGTAGCCCTCTCCTTCCTGGTTCCATTCTCCACAAATTCCAGCCACTTTTGTCTCCTGGTTCCAATTGCTGTCATCTCAACTTAAAAAGACTCTCAGATTCTAATTAGGGATCTTCTGCTATACAGCCAGTCTGGAATCTGTCAGGGCATTCATAGTACTCATTTGTTTTGTTTCTCTTTGCTCATGAATCCCAGTTCAGCTCTTCTTCTTGTCTACTGTGTGAAATAGCTGTTCATTTTTCAAACTGTACAGTGAGGTAGGCCTGGTCCCCATTTTAAATTATGCCCTGGAGCATAATGCTTTCATCCCTTTTTATAGATAAGCAAACTGAGGCTTAAAAAGACCAAGTAGTATACTGATGGAGAACAGGGATTTGAGCATACATTGGAATTCAAATTTTTCCTATTTACTAGTTGAACAACATTGGGCAAGTTACTTAACTATCTGCCTTCATTTTCATATCTTCACAGGTAGATATTTTGGATGCTGCTACTCATATATAAGGAATAGTTTCTTACTATTTTGTTAACTGAGATGGTGACTGTGAAGTTTTCTGCACAGTTCCGGGCACATAGTGAATGTTGGATTGGGTGTTACTAACTAATTATATTGCCCATGATCACTTTGCTAGAATTTTTTTAAAAGGAAAATATGATTTTAAATAGTCATATTTTTCTGCTTATTTTTAGATGTCTGAATTCTTGGTCAGACTTGAAAACACTTAAACAGTTCTTGGAAACTTTAAAATTATTCTTGGTGACCTTGATTTTGGTAGAATCTCTGACTTCAAATTCAGGAATGTAATATTGATGGCAAGATTAATATTTTCCCTTATTTGTCAAAAGTCATTTTCTTTAAAAAGTATTTAGAAAAGAAAACAAGTATATTCAAGCCAAAAAGACAAATTCTCTAGAAATAGGGGCAGGGTATACTCATTTAGTGAAACATGAAAAGTCCTGTGTGTGTGGAGAGATTTTAAAGAAAAGATCAAGGAAGAATCCATCACAAATTCTCATGAAGAAGACACATTATAGGTTTAATTAATCACAATGATGGATATCTTTAACATTAGGCAATAATTGACAGTTTCATAGTAGTGAGAATATAGTCACTCAAAATACAATTTTTAAAGGTCATATTCTGTTTTCTTTTCAGAATCTCATAAAATCTTGGATCACCACAAGTAGAACTCAACAGAGAATAATCAGGCAAAAAAATCAGGCAGGTTCATCATTGAAGGTTTGAGTATGTCCTCAGTTGATACTCATACATTTAAATATGGCAGGTAGACAAAAAATAACACAGATTTGTCAACCATATGTAGAAGAATAGTTCAACTCAACAAGGGGAATTCAGAATCCTCTCTCTGCTGGCTGAGCCTGTGTGTGCCAGCCAACAACATCCACTTAGTCTCAGGTGACAACAGTGCCAGTTAGTTAGCTTTTGTTTGTGTTTTGACTATTGATAGACTTAAATTATATTCATATTGTCATGCAGAACAAACACATAGAAAGTCTTGCCTTTGATCTAAATACAGGCACTTCTTTGTTGCAATGACGTTTGAACTGTATATCAGAATAACATGCTTATAATAAGCCAGGCATAAAAAGTAGATTATCTAGATCAGATAATTAAAAACCATCTGATTAATGATAATTTTGGCTTGAAAACAAATTATCCTATCTCAACAGAAATTTAAGTTAGTTTACAAAAATACAGATCTTACCTTTGAGATTGATATAAAATGCCGTGGACGTCTCTGTAAACATTTCAATCCTCCTTTGACCTTTTTGAAAGATTTAATTCTGTAGTTGTTAGATTAATGCATATTCTTTGTGTGCTCTTCTTGAACTGAATAAATGTTATTCTTTTCTGACCAGTAACATTTTTCCCTCTTCCTGATTCTTGTAAACTCTTTTCTAACAATGCTCACGAAATGTAGAGAAAATGGTTTCTCTAGTATCCAAAATAACATATTCCTTGTAATTTAAATTGCCTAAGAGTTCATTTCTTGGCAATATGCTGTATGGTAACATGGCTTTTGCTGAAGAGCTCAGTAAATCATCCAGGGGTGCTGGGACTTT